TCTGGGCGTGTGGGGGCACAGAGCGTGGGCTCGGGTGGGTACGGCCCACAGCGAGGCTGCATCATAGCCGAGGAAGCTCAAGCTCAGGACACACACATTTTTATAATGAGGTTGCAAGCAAATCTGCCTGACATTTGTCTTTAAAAAAAAAAAAAAACACAAAAAAAGCAGTTCTTTTTCTTAAGCTGCACAGCAAGCACATTGCCCCTTGTCAGGGAAAGGGACACTATCTCAATTGAGGCTTTTGCTTTAGAAACCTTCTTGCAAAGATAGTCTGGCACAGAAGGCAGCACCTTGCCTGCCTGAGAGGCTACCGCGTGTAAAATACCAAAACTCAGAACACTAGGATTATCTTCCTTAGTGGCTTTTGGTAGAATAAAACGACGCCACACATAAAAGTATTTAGTATTGTTAAATGCTGAATCAGTGTGGCATTTATTTACTTATTCTTAAATTTTTTTCTAACCTTATATTTATTTTTGAGAGACAGAGACAGAACGTAAGCAGGGGAGGGGCAGAGAGAGAGGGAGACACAGAATCCGAAGCAGGCTCCAGGCTCTGAGCTGTTAGCACAGAGCCCAGTGTGGGGGCTCGAACCCATGAACTGCGAGATCATGACCTGAGCCGAAGTTGGACGCTTGACCGACTGAGCCAGCCCATGCCCCGATGCAGGCTATTATAATACTCCAGCATATAGCCACATGCACGACCTTCAATACTTGGGCCTTCTTCCTTGTTATAAAAAGTAATGTATGCTTTTTTTCCTTTTAGAGCAGTTTTAGGTTCATAGCCAAACTGAGCAGAAACTATAGCTGTCCCCACACAGGCCCAGCTTCCCGACTGTTGCAGGATGTTTTACCCCAACACCCGGGGTTCGTCATCTCACCGCTTTAAAGAATGAAGAGGTGGACACAGAATGAGCAGCTGAGAAAAGTTTATGAGGGTCTAAGATCAGAAAGTAAGACTCGCAGGAAAGCTCTCTTTACAGGGAGGGGGCTTTGAAGGTGAATGCCTGCAACTGCAGGCAAGGGTCCTCGGTCTGTAAGGTCAGCGCCCCCTTCCCTTCCTTCTCTTTCCTTCTCGGGTCCCACCCTTACGAGCTGGATAGCTCCAGGTGCCGGGTTGCCCATTCCTGAATGGCTTGATTCCATTGTATGAGGGCTGGTCTGTGGCCATACCCTTCCTTGGGGTTATAAGTTTGGTGGGTTATGTTTTATGGTCTACTCCTTTTTTTTTTTTTAGTCAGGTGTTTTGTCAAATTCCTGAGGGGAACCTGTGGGGGAATGGGTGGCGTCTGTTACATTCTTTTTTCTCTTTTTTTAATGTTTTATTTATTTCTGAGAGAGAGAGAGAGAGACAGCATGAGCAGGGGAGGGTCAGAGAGAGGGAGGGAGACACAGAATCCAAAGCAGGCTCTGGGCTCTGAGCTGTCAGCACAGAGCCTGATGTGGGGCTCGAACCCACGAACCACGAGATCATGACCTGAGCTGAAGCTGGAGGCTTAACCGACTGAGCCACCCAGGCGCCCCGGGGTCTGTTACATTCCTAAGAGGAACCCTATGCCTGAGGGGGTTTGCTGTGGTCAGACACTCCCAGCACGGTTCCCAAATAGGTGTGTTTCCCCACCCAGGGACCTAAAGTCCTGACCTTTCCCTCTGATACTACCATCAGCATTTGCAGCAGGACGGACATTTGCTACACCTCACCAACCTACGTGGACACAGGTCTGTCACCCAAAGTCCAGTAGTTTCCCTGAGGGTCCCGCTTGGTGGTGTATGTTCTGCAGTGTTGGACACATGTGAGTGACGTGTCCATCTGTATCACGTGGAGTAGTCTCACTGCCCTGAAATCCCCCGCGATCCGCGGATGCATCCCGCCCTCCTCCCTGAGCCCTGGCCACCACTCACCTCCCTACCGCCCCACCCCTGTGCCTTTTCCAGAATGTCATCGTTGGAACCAAACCGCACTCACCAGAGAGGTGAGCTCCCTCTCTGCACCTCGTCACCAGGGACAACAAGCACTTGTAGCTTTTCAAAAGAAGAGACAATGCATCTGCAGCACTGAAATAATACGGTATTCAAATCTAGAACTTAAAAATAGGGTTTCCGGAGCTAATTCCATTTCTGTCTTCCTACATTAGATATACAGGGAAATTATCTCCATCAGGAAGAATGGGAGTGAAATAAAATACTTTTTTTTTAATGTTTATTTTTGAGACGGAGAGAGAGAGAGAGAGTGGCCAGAGGTGCAGAGAGAGAGGGAGGCAGAGGATCTGACCCGGGCTCTGCGCAGAGCCTGACATGGGGCTTGGACTCGCAAACCATGAGATCAAGATCTGAGCCCAAGTCGGCCGCTTAACCGACTAAGCCACCCAGGTGCCCTGAAAAAATACTTTTTAAAAACATAAGTGGAGGGGGGCCACCTGGGTGGCTCAGTCGGTTAAGCATCTGACTTCGGCTCAGGTCATGATCTCGCAGTTCGGGAGTTCGAGCCCCGCGTCGGGCTCTGTGCTGACAGCTCAGAGCCTGTTGCCTGCTTCGGATTCTATGTCTCCCTCTCTTTCTGCCCCTCCCCTGCTTGTGCTCTATCTCTGTCTCAAAAATAAATAAACTATAAAAAAAATTTTTTTAAAAACCATAAGTGGGTTGTTTTTATCAGCTAAACTCCTAATTTGCCGGGGAATGACAGGCCATAAAGACTTCTAATTTTTCTGCCAGTACCTGGCTACCTCAAATATGAACAGATAGCCACCACGCAAAACAGGGATCCTACCTTAACATAAACATTCTGCAAGTGTGAATCCAGTGTTCTTTCCCTGTTCCAAGGCCTGGTGGCAGATTTTAGCAAATCGGCATACGTCATGAGAACAGTCAAAAGTTAAGATTTTCTCTTCTGCTCTGGGAGTATAAAGCTGTAGGGTTATTTCTCTGTTAGTGTCCCAGCCCCCGTCGTAGCTGCTAATTCCAGATTGCAGAGTTTCATTTGTGAAGACTCCGGGTTGGTGGGCTAGCGTTCCGTGAAAAGGCGGTATTTGCAAAATGACCTCCAAAGGCGGAAGCAGCCCTGCGACCGAGGAAAAAGGCTGGCAAGTCCAGCTTAACAGGAGATGGCTTATCGAGGGGACTTAGGGACAGAAGCGTGTCCTGGGAAGCTGCAAGAGGAGTAGAGGTCCATAACCCCGCCTCCTGTAAAGCCTGCTTTGTAAAGCCCTACAGGCTGGGGGTCACGGGGAGGAAATGCCTGAGCATCGTGGTCCCACCTCCAGAGCAGATCAAAGATGTTCTGCCCCAAGGAAGTACTTTAGGGTGTGGTTCTACAAAAATAAAGAGTGTGAGTGTGAGTGTGTGTGTGTGTGTGTGTGTGTGTGTGTGTGTGTGTGTGTGTTAGTGTGTGTGTGAGTGTGTGTGTTGGGGCAGGGGGGCTGCACTCCACAAGTCTTCGGGTCACACAGAGGTCCTCATGGCAGACGGGTTCAGGACGGCCCTAGTCAGGGTCTCAGAGCTGGAGCTAAGGGCGTCTGTGAGGAGGTCCTCCAGGCAATTCCACACAACAAGGTCCCAGAACAAGTGACCTGAAAGCATCTGGAAAACCTCAGGCGTCTAGGCCGAAATTATAACGAATGTTGAATATTACGATAAGCGTAGAAAACAATCAGGGCAGATATACAAGGCTTTGAGGAGGGTATTGTACCCACAGGTTTAGGAGTGACTCCTGATGTAAAAGAGAAGGATTCTGAAGGAAAAGATGATGCTAGGAAGACAGGCCTACGCCTGGCCAGAGAGCTGACTGTGCGCTGAGGAAAACGGTACCAAGCTAGACGCCACTTTACTGCCTATTTCGTTTCCTTTTTTTTTTAAATTTTTTTCTCTTCCTTTTTTTTTTTAAAAAAAATTTTAATGTTTATTTTTGAGGGGGTAGGAAAGACAGAGAGTGAGAGTTTGAGTTGGGGAGGGGCAGAGAGAGAGGGAGACACAGAATCTGAAACAGGCTCCAGGCTTCAAGCTGTCAGCACAGAGCCTGACGCGGGGCTCAAACCCCCAAACCGTGAGATCATGACCTGAGCCGAAGTCAGATGCTCAACCGACTGAGCCACCCAAGTGCCCCCGCTACCCATTTCTAAGTGTTGTCACCAACCTCTGCACATGAGATGAGTCACACCAGAGTATCCATCAAGTGTCCAAAAACATTTTTTGAAAAAATTTATCATACTAGGTGTCAGTGGCTATAAAATTGGAGATTTTTATGATGAAGAAACTTCACACACTGAGAAATCCATCAGAGGGGGGCAAAAAAAAAAAAAAAAAACAAAACAAAGAAAATGAACACAACTGCTCCTCAGAAGATTGCCCATATTTTTGAATACGTGCAAAACAAACAGCATCTTTCTTATTAACAGCATTCTTTCTCCCTCAAGTCAGTAGGGAGCATCATGTAAAACTGAGAATCAGTGATAAGAGGCCCATCACTCTATGGTGATGAAAATGAATCAGGACTAATCATGCTGTTGTTTTTTTTTTAATGTTTATTATTTAGTTTTGAGAGAGAGAGAGAGAGAGTGCGAGTAGGGGAGGATTAAGAGAGAGAAGGAGACACAGAATCCGAATCAGGCTCTGGGTTCTGAGCTGTCAGTCAGCACAGAGCCTGACAAGGGGCTCGAACTCACCAACTGTGAGATCTTGACCCGAGCCGAAGTCGGACGCTTAACCGACTGAGCCACCCAGGCGCCCCCAGGACTAATGAGGCTATGACTCACTGTTACGTTTAGACTCACTGGCTCTAAAAACTTGGATACTCTAATTATTATAAGTATCCAAATACACATTATTCCTTTTGGCCTTAATATATCACTCAGGAAATTAATCCCCGGAGTTGCAATGTCTTGAAACATTCAGCAGAAATCCAAAGATCACTTAAAATTTAAACATACAGGAAATACACACATACAAATTCATGTTAAAGGGTTATACAAAGCTGAGATAAAAGGACATTATAAAAAAACATTTCTGATATAGAAAGCGCAAGTGCTAATTCAGCACACATTTATTCTTGTGCTTATTTGCTTATTTCACACAAAGAAGGTAGACTACATGAGGCACCTGATAGAGGATGGTGAGTAACCTCCGCAGCCTCTGTTTCTTTCTTCTTTAAATATAGACGCTGACAGACAAGATGGATTAGATGCAGTCTACTGTTTCTTCACTTGGCTGATTTTTTAGGGAATTATAAACCATGAAACGGAACTGAGTAAATGTTGGAAGTTTACCGCAAGCGGCACCTGGGGCCAAGAAAAGAGGAAGTTACGTGGGTGAGTAGAGAATGCACACATTGCAGCCAGTCCCCACTGTAGCTTCCTGGCCTCGCCGTCGGCTGTCGTGAACCCGAGGTGAGCAGAGCCACCCAGAGCACACGAGTGTACTGACCAGCCGGGGGGCGCCCCAGGGGAGGAAGGAAGGGCGGTGGGAAAGCCGTCTCTTTGAACCTCGGTATCCAGGCGGAGTTCTGGCTCTATGCACGCATGCTGTCATTGCTATTACTATACTCTGTTTGTAGATCCTGTTCTTGGCAAAAATACTTTCGTAGGCAAGGGCTACGGACCTTCTTTCCCTAGCCACTGGGACGTGACCGTCAGCCATCCCTAATTCTTCCTTCCCTCGGTCCCTTTCTTCTCTACTTTTCTGTTCCCACAGGAAGGGAGACGGGCTCTTTGCCACTAATCCAGTCCTCCTCACTGACGCCCTATTCCTATGACAGTGGGGGGTTTCTTCCCCTCCCACCCCACAAACACCTTGCACAGGACCCTTCTAAGGCCAATAATTTAAGGAACGAGTCCATTTTAAATTCATCTACAGTGATCTCATTGTCATTTTTACATCTTGTTAAATCCAACTCTGAGCCTTCTCAGGTTTATTTCTTAAGACGGAATCAATCAAACCAACTTACTTTTAAACATGAAGCCTTCTCCCCCGCCCCCCATAACGTCTATCGACTTTGGTATCTCGGTACTTAAAAAAGAATTAGGAATTCCTCAAACAAGTTTTTCAAATACAGAACTGTGGGAAGGAAAAGATCAAAGAACAATAACAAGCAGTCTAACCTAATAAGTTATATTGATCAGTATGCCGTATCTCTTCCCCATCTGAAAATGCACTAATGAGAGGCAGCAGTGGGTGATCTTGAAGCACTTTGAAACTGTGACAGGCTCATCCAGAAAGTAAATGAAGCAAAGGACAGGCCTCCAATGCTGTGCAAAAATAATTCTGCCAACTTCTTCAGTTTACTAATTAGTAATGCATTTTGTACCTTGGAGCCCCAAGAAGGTCTAAATGACTGAGACATTAATATAATGAATGGAAAAGAAGCAGGGAAGATCATTTGTCCCTATCGACCTCGAATTAATAAAATCATTTGACTAGAGTTAGCCCTTCTCAGCACGTACTGGAGCTACAGCTCAACCCTGACGTAGGACCAATGTCAAAGATACGAACTAAGAGCCAAAGATGGGGTCCTAACCACCGGTGGTCAACCAAAGAGGGGGTTTAAGGTGTACTCAAGCACTCTGGGCGTCTTGACAGGTCAACAGTTAACATTTACCCAGTGCCTACCCAACACAGTCCCTGTTGCCACTCTATTGGAGCAGAAAAACACTACAGTATTTTTAAGTGTATGTTTTCAACAACGTTTACAAGTTCGCCCCAATATGAATTCCAAATAAAACTTACCATAACTTCCGGTCACATTGGCACATATCACAGCCCCAAAGAAGTTTGGAAAATACTTCTGAATCCTTGAAATCACTTTCCGGCAGGCTAGGGCTGGATCTTCTCCCATTCTCATGTACTCTACAGCTTGGTAGCTGGTTTAAACAGAGGCGAAACATAAGCATCACAGAAGGAGCTAAGTCCACGTGTGTTAACCTGAAGTTAGAAACCCGAAACCTAAAACCATCAAAGCTGTCACGTGTGGCAAAATACATAAAGGGAAGTCAGAAGCTCCTGTGAAAGCACCAGCATGAACGGAAGTAAACCTTGACCCAGTGTCTACCTTTTCAACTAATCTGTCCCTTAATGTCAGATGAGGGCTATTATCTTTGGCTCTGGGTGAATAACTGCTACTCAGTAACAACGGCCAGAAGTCATAAAAAAGAGAGGTTCTATTGAAACGGGAGATGGGGCTACAAGCAGTGGGGGAAATACCGGGCATGTGCAAAACATCCAGTCGTAATGATCATCTTTCAGTAATTAATTGCACACGGTGACTGACTTGCCCTCTTTTATCACCAATTATCACCCCTCCTTTACTCAGTGGCCTTACATAAATTACTTAAATGCATCATAAGTGTTCTCATCTGTGAAGTAAAGCAAGAAATATTCTATTTCAGAGGACAATGATTACTTAATTTGAATTATCATCATCAAAAATGATAGGTGGAGAGTGCAGACGCACAATTTCTAAGCAGCTCTGGTGCCCACAAAATCAGACTGCGTGGCACAAGCCATTACTTTCTGTCTCGACAGACAACATCTTCTCTAAGGACTCCAAGGGTCACGTATGCAAGGGGCCGCACCTTGGCAGAAAGCGCATCAGGATGTCCCCATCCCCGGTGGCCGCGGCGGCTCCCGCGGCATCGTCCGCATAGGCGCCAGCTCCAGGTATTGGTGAATCTCCTACTCGACTTTGGAAGGACACAGCACAATAATTGAGGATAGGACACCGAGCGTGAAATGCAAACAGTATTTTATGAGAGGTTCCACAATATTTCTACTTAGCACTCGGTATTGTTTTAAGCCAGTTCTTCATCAGAACACAAAGATCAAAGATTTTCATCAGTCTTTCAGCTAAGGTTTCCCCAAACCTAATTATGTAAGAATTGGATACCGGCTGGTTATATATCAAGATGGCACAGATTCACGGTGACTGTTCAATTACTACTGTCCTTTATCATCAGATTTCCGGATTATCTCCACAGGTTCAAATTGGCTTTCCTCATCTGTAATCTACTCCTGCCTTCTATCTGATGTGCCAGAATTTGACCAAGGATTGTCCTTGTAACAAACCTTCAGTGTTTCTTCTTCTCCTTTAAGATAAAATCCAGAAATCTTTAAACTGACCCAGGACCCTGTGAACTCTGGCTCGTCCTCCTCCCTGATACCCGACATACATGATATTTCTCTCCCATCCTAAGGGACTTGAGCGTGCTCTGCTCCAAGTGCCCTTCCCCTCCCGAGGCGCGCACGCTCATCTGGCCTCCCCAGCTGACTGCCCCGCTTCCTCAGACCACCGCTGCCATTCCTGGTGGCTGGGACGCCCACTCCTGTGGCACGTAGCACGTACTAACTTATTTTCTTTCACACTTACTTATCTCAGCTGTGAGGGGAGGGTTGTGCTTTATGTTTGGCATCTCCCATTAGCGCCTTGAGCATACTGGTTTATACTCAACACATACCGGCGAGATACGTTCTTTCAGAAACACTAACCCATGTATTTTGAATTTTATACCATTTGTAGAAGTACCGGCAGCAGTACGCCCCATTTCATGGATGACAACCATGCCTAGAAGTTAAAAAAAAAATCATTGTAGGTATCAACTCTGAGGTTTCCCTCAAAGACAAAGAAACATTTGAGCTGTTTGTAATATAAATATCCCCACTCATTAATTTCTGGCAGAAGAAATTAGGAAGCTTGGGAATACTGAAACTTACAGCAACTGTGTCATTTGTGCTGTTTCAGAGCCTAGACTTTCCATACCCTTACTTCAGATTACTCAGTCACCTTTCAAAGGTAATTAAAAACATCACTGATATAGGACAAGGGAAATTTTCAACATAATAGCTCAAATATGGCAAACAGTGTAAAAGTACTAAAGAACTAACTACACATCAAACAGAGGCACCTGACTGGCTTGGTCAGAAGAAAACACAACTCCTGAGTCAAAAGTCCTGACTTCGAGCCCCATGTTGGATATAGAGATTACTTAAGTAAATGAATAAAAACTAAAAGAAAACCCAACAACTAAATATCAAATACAGATTTAAAAATCTACAAGTGGATAATCACTAGCTGTAAGGGGCCTTGTATAAAGTAATTTACCAAACGTATATAGATGCAGTGAAAAGTGTATGTGTGTGTGTGTGTGTGTGTGTGTGTGTGTGTGTCCCCGCATGTGCACGTGCGTATTTATCGTCGTACTTAGCAGGTAAACCAGTTAAAATCACCTTGTGGCATGTCAATCGGGATAAAGAAGTTAAGAACAATGGGAAGGCAATTAAAAATGGCCGAACTTTGGGACGCCTGGGTGACTCAGTCGGTTAAGCCTCCAACTCTTGATTTCAGCTCAGGTCATGATCCCAGGATCGTGGGATTGAGACCTGCATTGGGCTCCGAGATGAGCGTGGGGCCTGCTTAAAATTCTTTCTCTTTATCCCTTTGACCCCTCCCCAGCTCACGCAGTCTCTCTCTAAAGTAAAATTGTAAAAAATGGCTGAACTTTAACCATAAAAATTATATGAAAAGGCAAATTACCAATTGTATCATGACCGTAATTCTCTCCTGTTTCTTTATAGGTAGGGCCATCTTGCTTTAAGATACTAGGTGGTTTGTAAGGTCCACAGTATTTTGAAGCATCTGGTACAACATTCTACAAACAAGAATTAAGTTTTATTTTTTAGAAAGGTTCATTTTAGAAATTGGCAAGCAGTTCCATACGATGACTAAACATTAGCAGGAAAACAAGAAGATGTCTGGTAATGGAAAGCTATGAATTAAAAACCAAAGATTAGCTAAGTCTTATATAAACAGATGGATATAATTTTATTTAATACCGAGTCTTGTCTCAGAATTACATAACACAGAATAATAGGCATCTATATCTGGAAACAGTCCCTCATCTCTCTCTCTGTGTGGCTAAAGTTCTCAGCACAATGGCAGATATAAATGAAGATTTTTGTATTAGATCTTAATCCTCAAAGGAATCAGGTACACAGCCTGACCTTTAAATTTCAGCATTTGTTCCCTGGCCATTGAAGAATTCTGAGATTTAAAGGAGAATCTATTTTAAAAAAGTTCTTCGGGGCACCTGGATGGCTCAGCTGGTTAGGCGTCTGACTTCGGCTCAGGTCATGACCTCGCGGTTCGTGGGTTCGAGCCCCGCGTTGTTCTCTGTGCTGACAGCCAGCTCAGAGCCTGGAGCCTGTTTCGGATTCTGTCTCCCTCTCTCTGACCCTCCCCTGCTCGTGCTGTCTCTCTCTCTCTCAGAAATAAATTTTAAAAATAAAAAAAAAAAATAAAAACGTTCTTTATTTCTGGGGTGCCTGGCAGCTCAGACAGTTAAGCATCTGATTCTTGATTTAGCCTCAGGTCATGATCTCATGGTCATGAAATCAAGCCCCGCATCAGGCTCCGTGATGATAGTGCGAAGCTTGCTATGGGATATTCTCTCTCTCATTCTCTCTCTCTCAAATAAATAAACTTTAAATTTAAAATTAAAAAAAAAACTTTATTTCAAAGCTAGGTTCAGGAGAATATATTCTAAGTTGTACTTGTAAACTGAATCATAAAGACACAAGAAAATAATTTGAATTCATAAATTTAGGCTGTGTATGTGGATTAGTATTTCATCAAGAAACTTACTACCTGTCTTACTCATTAGTGCACTCCGTGCCTCCCCAGACCGGGTTTTATACATTCGCAGCTTTCAGATGCAAAGCTCAGAGGCTCCTTAGTCACTTATAGGCAATTAGGATTTGGGGGAAGAAACAGATGAGACGACGGTCCACAGAAAGGTTCTGGATGGCAAAGAGAACCTGATTTATGCTAAATGTCCCAGTGATGTGAGGAGAAATTACCCAGCGTTGGCACACTAGACACCGAATCGTAGAGGTCCAGTCAAATAAGGGGCAAGAGAGTGGGTATCTTCCACACAGCCAAAATGTAAGACATACTCTAGACGAATGATTTCCAAAGTCTGATTTGTTTTTTAGACTTTTTTTTAGACCTATTGTCACTAGGAAATACAAGCAGAGCAGGTCTGACTGAGGACACCCTGCTTCCTGCAGCACATCTGTCAGTGTGAAAGCTACTGCAAGGACCCAGGAGTTTTCCACCAGGGATGTGCATGCGGAGCAGCTGACGAACGTTCGTGAGCATCCATGCACTGAAGAGTCCCCTTCAGTCGTTGTTTCTAAAGTGCTACCAGAGTGATAACCAGCACCGTAGGCAAGAGAGAGCAGATGGGCTGTCAGTGAGTCTTTGCTAATGATTTACCTGTAAGAATGAAGCCTACGTACCCTCCAGTAATTTGGCTGGCAATTCCGAGCAAGCCAATCCGAATGAAGGGCTCGGGAAGTCTTGGTAGATAAATCCTCACTGATAAACCCCATACTTTCGGCAAACTTGGTGGCTGGAGATTAAGAAGAGAAGGAAAAAGTAAATTAGTTAAGCACTGTTTTCTAAACAAAATACACGTACAGGAAGCCTTCTCGGCTAGCGGTCTCTTAAGCGGGGTATCCTTCCCGGGGGCGCACAAGGGCGTTCAGAGGAATATTCAGACGGGAACGGTGTTAAGGCACTTTCAACTGCCACGTGTTCTTTCTACATCTGATCTTCCTGAGAACCTTGGAATGCGTACACTTCTCCTTTCCAGCCCCTTCACCACCCCCCTTCCTGTACATCACAAAAGGAAAAGCACGCCGCTCCCTGACAAAGAATCTTACCTTTCTAACTAGGGTACCATGTCAGTGTTGAGACCCCAAAGGGCCAACTGGATTCCATGCGTGAGTAGTGGGTCTTTGTGTTTGTCAGGCAGTTTCTAATTCTGGCTTTCAGCAAAACTGAAGGATGCCTACTGGAGTTATTAGCTCATACAACATTAAAAACGTATTTTTCAGGGTGCCTGGGTGGCTCCGTCGGTTAAGTGTCTGACTGGGGCTCGGGTCATAATCTCACATTCATGAGTTCGAGCCCCACGCCGGGCTCTGTGCGGACAGCTCAGAGGCTGGAGTCTGCTTCGGATTCTGTCTCCCTTTCTCTCTGCCCCTCCCCCATTGCTCTCTATATCTCATCAAAATAAATAAAAATAAACAAAAAATGTTTTAAAAATTAAAAAAGAATTTTTGATTATAGAAAATTGTATGAGTTTTGACATATAACTTGGAAGACATTCAAGCAAGGGACACAACCATAGCAAAAATACGCTGGTGCCCATCTTCTGATGTTAAGAATGCTCTGTGCAAGTCGTTCAGGAAGAGAAATGATGTTGACTCAATATTTCCGTCCAGCAATGATCTCTCCATAGACAATGAACTAGTTTTTTACAATCCTATTTCACATATGAATAAAGTTGAATTTAGAAGTAACTTACCTGAGGATAAAGAGGTATTAACTAAAACAGCTGGAATGTGACCTTGGGTTGGCTTTTACCTACTATTTTATATTTTCACAGTGAAGAATGTAGACAAAGGACTAGATAAAGCTCGAGTGTAGGTAAGATATACCTGACTCTCCCACCAAAAGCGTGTGTGTTGTATGTTCCAGAACTTTCCGTGCCACACCAATAGCATTTTTAATTCGTCTGAGATCTCCCACTGCTCCTACGTTCATTGTAGTGCTGCGAGAAAAGAAGCACAATAAGACTTATTAAGGTACTTTCTCAGGTTCACTGATAAAAACAACATTGATTTACTCCAAGCAATGGCTTTGTAGGATAAAAACTGTCTTAACCTAAACATGATACCACATCCATGAAGTTCATACAAATTCCCACGATCAGATAAATTAAGGAACAAATAGCAAAGCAATCTACCACATACTCCAACAGCACCACCAGTGCCAAGTTCCTCTTGGCTTTTTTTTTTTTTTTAATATTTTATTTACTTTTAAGCAAGCGCGAGAGGGGCAGAGGCTCCAATGCAGGCTCTGCACTGACAGCCACGAGCCTGATGGGGGGCTTGAATTCACAAACCAGGAGATCGTGACCTGAGCGGAAGTCAGACCCTCAACTGACTGAGCTGCTCAGGTGCCCCCCTCCTGACTTTTAAACGTGGCTTCTAAAAATAGTTTAAATCTTCAGATCATGCAAACCACAGGGTACATGGATGGCAGGTAGGTGATTATTTACCACATCAGAGATGTATCTCCATAGTGTGGAATTTTCTGTGTTCTCAGGAGACTGCCTACGGCATCCATGTAATATTTCTATTATTCTGATGATTTTCTCTTAACTTGTGTTTGGAAAGGCCAGGTACCATAAGCTAGGGGTTCTGACCTGATGAAGCTTACACATTTGTCCATCTTGCTCTCAGCAGAAGGCTGATCAGTATAACTCAACATGCGGTGAAGTGGAGATTTCTTACCCGTCCATGATCATGGCATCCAGCGTGGTCTCGCCGAGCTCATCAGGACTCCCTCCAAAGCCCACGGTACCGTCACACTGTTGCCTCTCACACACGGCACAGCCCTGCTCAACGGCATCCAAGGGAGAGCCTCCAGATGCTAACGTCCTCCACGCTGTTAATCAAATGCCAGTAGTGCTGGTTTATATATTGATTTTTAGTGAATGCCAAATGCAACAAACCAGAAATGTTTTGAGCACTCATCTAAAAGTACAGTTTCATGTTTACCCTTAAAGAGATTTTTACTTTATTAAGCTCTAAAAAAGAGTGATATAGACAAAATTATACAATGCAACTATTTACTGTGAAGAATTTAAACACTATTGATGTAAAGTGAGATTTTTTTTTTACCCACTAATATTTCTGTGCTGTGTAAGAAATGTCTTCTCTTCGTCAATTTTATAATTGAAGCCACTAAAAGGCAGTTAAATTGGAAGTTCATTAGAGCATAGGCTTATAAATTTCTTCTGTATCATTAGATGATTAAAAATATACACAACTCGGACTTTTATTGAGGTAACATCAATCACTGCAACTCTCAATACCCACTGCAGAAGAGCAAATAATGACAACCTGGGCTTCACATGGCTTAATGCATTTAATCTGCACCATAGCTTTTCAGGTAAGTACCGTACAGTTAGCGTCCTCATTTTAAGTAGGAGGAAACAGACCGAGACAGGTTAAGGAACTTGTTCAAGGTCACACACTGGGAACAGAGTTCTCAAGCCACGTTGGCACTACTTTGTTCGGTGGAACCCCATACATTGGCAAGGGGGGGGGGATCTTCCAAGGTCAGTGTCTTTACTAATCAAAACAATTATTTGAAGGGAAGGAGGTGCTACTGGTAATTTTAAGTATTAGTACTGGATCTACAGGATTGAAACAAGTGTCAAGAAGATCCCCCTTTCACTGCAGGGAACACCTATATGCGCCCCCGCCCACCCCGCACTTTCTTTTCTGTCTCATTTTGGCCTCAAGCTGGGACTTTCCTTCTCATGGCCTGTTTCCATCTTTTCCGAACAATATGCAACTGCCTCTCCCACCCAACCTTCACTCCACCAAGTTCTGGAGCCAGTTCTGCCCCAGTGAGTTGTACCGGCAGCCTCAGATGGGGGAAAAGGAGTCTGAAATTACTCCTGGGGCAGTAGGTCTTGGGAACGAATGAGGCAAATATACACAATCCAGTAAACACATGACAAGATCATGGTATGTACAGGATTGAATGAAAGCACAGTAGATAGGCAGCTCGCTCAGACCGGGCGTTCATAAGGGCAGTAAAGCAAGGAAGGCTTCTTGAAAGAGGTGAGTTGAGTGGTTCGCACACTTAGCCGCGAATCAAAATCGCTTAGAAAGCTTTCAAGGAAACAAAAATGTCACGTTTCCAGGACTTAAAATCTCAAGAGGCAGGGCTCAGGCACGGGAAGTGCGGTGGCCAGCCACACTGAAACCCTGTACTGCGGGCGCCGAACCCACAACGTCAGCAGGAACAGCAAACGTAAGCGTACAAACGGTGTGTATGGGAAACCAACGGCCGTTTGCAAAGCGGCCGTTGAGCTCAGGGTACTGGGGAGACCGGAGGGGCCAGGAAGGAGAGGTGGGGCGGCGGACCAGAGGCAGCCAGCCCCCCCTCCACCGCCCCCCTCGCCGCCCCTCCCTCCACGGCCCCCCTCGCCCCCTCCTTCCCCCTGGCCCCTGGCCCCACCCTCCACCGCCCCCCTCCCCCCTCCCTCCACCTGGCCCCTCGCCCCTCCCTCCACCGCCCCCTCCCCCTCCCTCCACCGCCCCCTCACCCCTCCCTCCACCGCCCCCTCACCCCTCCCTCCACCGCCCCCTCACCCCTCCCTCCACGTGCCCCCTCCCTCCACCTCCCCCCCTCACCTCTCCCTCCACCGCCCCCCTCGCCCCCCGGGACGGCAGAATGGATGTGTGCAAGCACGCGCAGGCGCCCCGACGAGTCCCTGCACAAGGGCCCCAAGCACTGCGCGGGGGGCAGCGGCCGGGCGGGGGGCGTGCGGGCCGGGCGGGCACAGGCGGGTTCAAGCGCGCCTCTAAAAGGCAGCAGCGGCAGGGAGGGCGCCGTGCGGGGTCAGGCCGCGGCCCCGCGCCCGCCCCCGGCCGCCCCCGCCGCCGCGCACCTGCCTGGGTCGCGTTCCTGAAAGGCCAGGTGTTGAGCACCAGGGGCAGAGGGCTGGAGCTGCGCGCGACGCCCGCGCCGAGCAGCAGCCGCGCCACGAGCAGCACCAGGCCGCACTTCCGCGCCATGGCCGCGCGCCCCGCGGACACGCGCTCGGACGGCCGCCCTGCCCGCGGGGCCGCGCTCGCCGCGCTCGCGATGCCCCGCCTCCCGCCGCGCGCCTCGGCCGCTCCCTCTAGTCTCGCGAGACCCGGCCGCCGCGGGACCGCCGAAGCCGCGGGAGCCGCGCGGCCTGCGGCCGGGTTTCTGGCTCCGGGCGGGGGGCCTCTGCGGTTGCTACGGAGATTTGTTTTCTCTGCCAGAATTAACCGAATTATTGCTTCCCCCGATGGTAAAGGCCGACGGAGCCCTGTATTGAAAAATCAGTATGAAATGACGCAGCCCAGGGTTGCATGGCCCTGGGGACATTTTCGTTTGCTTTAAGTTTATTTTTTAAATTAGAAGCTAAAGTCGACACTTTTCCGGATGCAAAATGTACGGCGGGATCCCTGGCCTCAGAGGCGTGCGGAGGTTATGCGGTCGGGGTGAAGCACGCTTGCTGAGACCGCACCTCTCCGCAGGACGTGCCCTCGTGACCATCCCCTCCCGGCGCCTGGGCGAGAAGGGCTCCCTTCCCAGGGCCTCCACCTGCTGCCCGACGCCCTTAGGTGCTGATTACGTGTTGGAAGAACACGGAAGGCAGACTCACAGGGTTAAAAGGGAAACTGAAAATGCTACAGAGTTTGGAAACGATGTTTAAGTAGACATCCTATGAAATGCATTGTTGGAAAGTTCCTTCGTAAACTTTTACTTACAGCTTTTGAGCGAGTAGGGGAGTCTGGGGGGTTGAGAAAAGGCACAGGTGGCCTCTGAGTTGTTTCTAGAGCTGCATTTCGTGTCAGACTCGATTTGTGAGGCAGGTGCCGCTGTACTGAATTCCTCAGAGGCTGGGGGTGCATCCTGAGTGGGGTCACCTGGTGGACTGGCCCGTTCAAATCCGTCACGGCCAGTCTGCATGTTTATATCAGGGAGAGTCTTTTCGGCTGAGATGGAAATCAAAACATTCCTGTGTTCCAGCTTCGGAGCTGCGTGTCTGCGATCTTTAGTAAATCCTTCTACAAAGACTTCAGGATGGTTCTTCTTTCCCTTTGGGTACATAGCTTCATTTTAGCTGAGGGGACAAGGCCTTAAAAACTTCTTTTTTTAAAGTTTATTTATTTCGAGAGAGAGAGAGAGAACTTAGGTGCACATGCAAGCCTGAGCCGGGGAAGGGCTGAGAGAGAGAGAGAATCCCAAGCATTCTGTACCATCAGCTGATTCTGTACCATCAGCACAGAGCCGGAAGCAGGGTGCAACCCCCCCAACACGTGAGATGGTGACCTCAGCCGAGACCAAGAGGCTTAGCCTACGAAGCCACCCAGGCGCCCCACCTGAAAAAGTTTTTATCAAGCTCTATCAATTTCCAATTTGGCCACCTTCTGACGTTAAAAAGAATCCTTTTGAATATCTTACCAGACTTCAGGTGCGACAAATAGTAAATGCTCCCTGAGCATATTGAACAACCCCTTGCGTAGAAGGGCATCCTCGGAGATGGTGCAAAGGTTCCTACCCTCCCAAGATCAGAGCCGCTCTCAGAGATAACCAAAAGAAAGACAACTTTCCTGAGAGCAGACAGCAGCAATCAGTAGGCACAGGCACAAATGGAGTGCAACGCACACTTCTGCACGACCGTATTTCTGGAAGCCCGATCCTGACAGGTGCCAAGCCAAGTTCTCCAGACACACAATGACACTGAGAAGGCAACAGCTGTCCCCGGGAGAGAAAGGATTGACAGCCAGAGGCTCTCTAAAAGCAAGTTCACGTGTCACCATTCAAAGATCTAATTCTTTAAATGTTTTTTTGCCTGCCAATCTGAATTGGGAAAGGAAGGGGCAAAGTGGGCTTTTACCTTCAACCAGACACCACAGATGGAGATCGGGGAGATCTGACTCTGGTAAGCATTCTAGCCACCTGCCAGCCTCTGCCAGTTTCCCCAGGATCCTGTCTGTAGGCTGCAGAGGGAGCGGGCTGTCCCAGGTCCCCCAAAACTGTAGAGGAGGAAGAATAATCCCCCCCCCCTTACGATAGTGCTTCACCAAGACCCCTTGTATTCTAGGGCACCTCCTAAATGGATAAGTTCATCTAAAGTGAGTTAAAGTTCTCCGTTGTGGCCACTGTAATTCAAGATTATTTCTGGTAAGTTTAACCCGCTTGCTGAGACTTGAAATTTTATTCCCCCAACGCCTCACCCTGGACCTGGCCCAGCTTCTGCCAGACCCAGTCCACTCCGGCCAGTTTAGGACCCAGCTCAGTGTCCGAGTGGGACCCGGTCCGGTGCGTAAGGAGCGCCCAGCCTGGGTTCTAAGCCAGAGCCGGTGCAGCCTGCAGGTCAGGCCTGAGCGGGGATGAAACCGGCAGATGGCCTCTGAAAGCTCCTGATGCAGACGCTGCTGGTCCGGGCACCCGCCGTGCACCCCCAGAGGCAGCAGGAAGGCAGCGAGCTCCCGGGGCTCACAGGTACCTTCACCTGGTTGCTTTTTGCTCCCCCGGTTCTCTCTCTGGCTCCAGACCTGTTAGGAGAGAAACTGAGGCATGCTGACAAGGTTGAGTACATCTAAGGAGGGGCGCCTGGGTGGCTTAGTCGGTTAAGCGTCCGACTTTCGCTTAGGTCATGATCTTGCGGTTCGTGGGTTCGGGCCCCGCGTCGGGCTCTGTGCTGACAGCCAGCTCGGAGCCTGGAGCCTGTTTCAGAGTCTGTGACTCCCTCTCTCTCTGACCCTCCCCTGCTCACGCTGTCTCTCTCTCTCTCTCTCCTAGAAATAAATAAAACATTAAAAAAAAAGTACACCTAAGGAAAATGGATTCAAATTGGGCAGCATCGATCAGGCAGACAGAAAGGAGCTCCACAAAGCTGTAAAATGAAAGACACCACTAGGGAGAGCGGGATGGGAACAAGGAGGTTTCCTAATCCAAAAAGTGGGTTAATTACTCCAACGTTGCTTTCTCCCTGGGGGTTGGTAGGATTCCATCAGGAAGCTTACCTGACCAGTGCTCATCAGGAGATTCCTGATAGACTGGCTTCAGGTTCCGTTTCTGGGAGACTCAACACTGTAATTAAGTCTCGTTTGGGGGACATAGGCCTCAGCATAAGCAACTCCAATTTTAGACCGTTGCCTTGTTTTTAGCAACATGCCTGGTAGAGATGGCTCCGTTCGGTAATGTGGTTGTCCGGCCGCAGGGGCCAGCATGAACCAGTGATCCCTTTGGGGTCTGGAATGCCTGATTCTGTTGCGACAGGAAGCCACGTGATCAATTACTTCTGACACCCGTTTTTACAAATGTATCCAGGCTTTTAAAAATATAACTTAGTGGGAGTTGTGGGGTTTCCAAATCTTCAAGGCTTCATTGCTGTAAAATAAAAGACACAATTTAAACACCACGAAAAAGCCTGGAAGAATTAGCAAAAGGTGGGGAAGTGCTGTTATTGAAAGTAGGTGCACTTGAAGAGAATTGTAAATTTCTCCTATGGGATTTTGGGGGTTTTTTGTTTTAATTTTTTAATGTTTATTTTTGAGAGAGAGAGAGGCAGAGTGTGAGAGGGGGAGGGGCAGAGAGAGAGAGAGGGAGATGCAGTATCTGAAGCAGGTTCCAGGCTCTGAGCTGTCAGCACGGAGCCCAACGCAGGGCTCGAACTCACGAACCATGAGATCATGATCTGAGCTGAAATCAGTCACGTAACCAACTAAGCCACCCAGGCTCCCTTCTCCCATGGGATTTCAGAGGAGGAACAGGTCATCTGTGCTGGTATAATCAGCATAAACTAGTGCCATGTGAAATTTAAAAGAGGGGACGAAAGACGATAAGAAGCAAGGAAAACATATCATGCATTGAATTAATTCTCATTAGCACCTGAACTGAACCTTCGTGCTTTTCACACACCAGGAGCCAGAACATGATTTCAGACAAAAATTGTGTTATATAATACATGCGAATTTGGTCACAGTGTCCACTGCTCCTGGTCGCCCCTCCTTTTTTCTTAAGGCATTTATGTTTCTTCTAGCTGAAAGGGCTTGAACTTTATTACCTCCGCTGGGTCCACCCTTTTTTCCAATATTCCTCTCTCGCCACTTGGAATCAGAATTCCCATCAGAGAAATGCAACACCGCTAAATTATACTTTAGTGGGAATGTCTGAGAAAAGCTTTCAATACGTCAGTTTCCCCAAGGATGTTTATATTTAAAATAAAATGGCCACCTCAAAGGAATCAGACTTATTTGGTGACGTTTTAGTATCTATTAAAATACCCACTGGGTCCACCATCCAGTGAACCTAAACTTAAAGTCCTGTCTGCAGCTCTGTCTTAAAGATGGTAACATAATCCGGGTATTTGCGCTCCTTCTGGATTAATTTTTCTTTAACATTTGGAGGATACTTTGAATTTTAGTCTTAGGAGGCCCCTCATGTTACTCGTCAGTCTTTGTATAACTAGATACTTATGCTTTACTTTGGGGTAAATTTCAATGAAAAGAGACATCTGCTGATCAAGCAGGTAGTGGACCTTGGGGGAAAAAATGGTTCAGGACTTTCCCAGCATCCTCTCCGATTTTTCATTCTCTTAAATCATTCATTATGCTTAACAGCAGAGATTTGTAGCATTACTGATAAAAATCAGTTATAGATTATTTTTATTAATAGTAGGCTGTATTACATAATTTCCTTTGGTAGGATGTTTATGTTCCTGAATAGAACCTACTTAAAACTCTCGATAGGATAGAATAGAATCTCAGGGAGATTCTCAAGCTGTGGATTTTAAAACGTAGGACAATAACCTCTGGGTCGTGGTTTACCCATCTAATCTTCCTGATGCACACTTGTTTCTTTATCCGAAACACGGAGAACATAAGCGTGTTCTTCTTTACCTTACAGAGTTTTGCGAGTGAGGTAGAGAATGAGAGAATGGCAGAGTAATATGCAGATTGAATAAAACCCTTTTGTTTCACTGGCGTTTACCCAGCATCCATCAAATGATGTCAGGGAGGGGGCAGTCCAGAAATGTACAAAGCAGCAAAAAGAAATCAATTTGAGGT